TGCCCTGTCTGTCAGGATAGAATTATCCCTGTCTTCCAGCAAAGGTAACGGCACGCGTTTTACCCTTTACCCTGTAAACAACAGCAACAACAATCCTAAGTGTGTGGAGCATCATTCACTGTCGACCAGCTGTTTTTCTGACAGAACTGATGTAACCTTTAAGGACGCCTTACTGCAGCACAGAAGCAACAACTGCAGTACCTAGTTTACAACTAAATGGGTATCTATTACTGAATAACGACATTTTGAGATGTGAAAAAATGTCAGGTGCGTTATTATTGGCAGGAAAGGTACCAAAATGACTTATAATTCAGTTCTAATGTGTGTGAGGATGACGAAATTTGCAAACATGTGAAACAAATGCACCAAAGGCAGAATCTGTCTGTGTTATGTGCTGTATGTACTTTTGTGAAAAACTGTATGTGAATTAAGGCTAACCATGTACATGGTCTGTTTCCCGTGTGTAAAGCACTTAAATGATTTCTAGGATATTTTGGCAAATCCCTGCCAGAAAAGTCACAAAGTGTGTAGTCACTGATCCTGGTGAAGCTGCCCTGAATATCAAAACTATTTTCATTTTTGTTTCATTTTGTTGCTCTTAAGCCTTAAGAATAAAAGGAACACTTCTTGTTCACACATATTTATCCTAAATATTTTGACTCTGTTTACTACTTTTACAGTATCCAAGGTCGTGTTTTTGGAACTAACATATGACATGTTAATTACAGGCAGTAATCAGTACGGCTCTATCCTGGGTCATACGTCTGTGACCACCGGCAGCCTGTTGGATGACAATCATTGGCACTCAGTGGTGATTGAACGCTACCGTCGTAATGTCAACTTCACCTTGGACAGACACACTCAGCACTTCAGGACCAATGGAGAGTTTGACCACCTTGATTTGGACTACGAGGTGAGAAGAACAGACAGGATTATAAAGTACACAGACAGAGAATGTTAGTGTCCCCCTTAAAAAATGAATAAATGAATCCAAGTCGATAACCTTAGAACATATACACATACATATACAAACACAGACACAGAGGTGACAGGGATATAGGCCATGTACTGTGTAGAGCTGTGCAAAGCATGTTTGCTGACATTGTGTTAATAACAAACCTTTTGGTGCCAAATGATTCAACAGCTATACGTTGGCAGTCAGAGGTGAGTTCAATTATGAAAAAAAGAAGCAGTAGACCTTGTAAGAAGTGGTCTACCTGGGTCACAATGTGCAAAATCTCACTTTACTTTAGAGAACCAAAGTCAAGTTCATTTGTTTATCCCCATATCATATACAGGGCCCATACATTTCCCTGCACACAGTAAACGCGGTGCTTTAGCAATTTTCCTCAGTCTTAGTCTATTTGGTAATTTCCTCACTCCAAACAAACACGCTTGTGCCAAGGTGGGAGGGGTGGCACACATGAGCCAGTGTTTCTGCTGATTAGAGAGCAATTTTGGGGCTAATTTTGGCATGAAATTGCATTTGTGTCTCTATATCTACTGCTGTGCAAAACTAAAACTTAACGCGATTAAGCACAATCTGTCACAAGCACATTAATGTAGGAGTCTTGCCAATAATGCAAACCACATTTGAGACACTGACTACATGGAATATCGCTTATATTCAGCTTTAATTCTCTGACTTCCTCACCCCCACCCCCACAAGGAGACTCCACGATACTAACTTTCCCCCTAGACTGACTCATACTCAGAGCCTGCAGGTGGATGCTGGGGTGGAGTGGAGCTTTTAAACAGTAGCACCGTGGTGGCAACAGTAGCAGAAAGTGAGAGCAGAGCAGCAAAAGACTTAGGGGAGCACTGGCAACTTAAGTGCACTGCAATAACAACAAAAGTGTGTTGCATATAGGTTGCAAAGAAAGGAGTATGCCATGTTGAGTGTAGGGTGTATTTGTATTTTGGAGCTTAATGATGAAGGTGAATATAAAATCCATTTGGAAACGAGATGAGAATTGAGGTTGACGAGCCTTGGGAAGTATTGATGTTCATGAGGAGATTACTATATCTGCTAATGTGAGCAGTTCTCACATAAAATCAGAACCCTCCCAAACTGCTGGTAGTCTTGATTGGGTTGTCTGATCATTTCAAACTTGTGAGAGACATTGTCTTATCTTTAATTATTAATAGTCTTTCTTTTTGATGCTTTTTTTCTTGTTATCTTAGTGTCTCTATGACATTACCTGTCCTTATGAGCTGTACTGATTTTGTAAATGTGTAACTACTCATTACTGGAGGTAGTTGGGTCTTCTCTGTACAGTGCATAGATACCATGCAGGAAATTAAAATTGGTTTTACACTGTGATACAGTATAATGCTAATCCATAAAACTCACATAATTATTGTCTGTCAGACAGTAATGAAATGCAGAGAGTTCAGCTAATAATACTAAAACCAGGAAATGCATAATGGGTATGAAATGCACTTAATGTAAATGTAAATGCTCCGTATTTGTATAGCGCCTTTCTGGTCTATTCAACACTCAAAGCGCTTTTACACTACTTAATGTAATGTGAGTGTGTGTATGCATGCGCGGCTGTGTACGGTTAATCCATATATGGGTGTGTCATGTGTTTGTGGGTATGTACTGATATGTTTGTCTGTTAGTGTGTGACTTTTAGTAGGCGTGGGAATCTCTAGACACCTCACGATTCGGTTTGATTACGATTCAGAGGGCTGCCATGCGATTGTAAAACGATTATCGATGCATCATAGTTTTTCCATACAGGATTTCTGGATATTACCAAGCAATTCAAATTAGCTTTATTGGCATGAATGTATAGCAACAATATTGCCAAAGCTACATATAAAGAATATAAGGACAATTTATTTCATACCCAGTTCTTGGTATGAACTGGGTATGCTGCATGAAATATCTCCTCATTAGCTTAAAAGGACTTCTTTGCATCGCTGATTTGCTTTACTAACCTCAGCAAGCTTTCACCGTCACTCACTCACCCACACACTTCCTAACCTTTAGTTTTAACATTAAGTGGGAAATTGAGATAAAGAAATGGGGCAGGACGAACCAGTCGAATTAAACTGAAGCTGCTGAATTAAGAGATCTTTGGGAAAATCTATAAAACATGGTGAAAAAGGAGGTGTTGTGTGAGTGTGAGTTTTGCGGGAGTGAGTCTCTCTACAGAAAGCAAAATTGTGACCAGCTTTTACTCAAAGTATACCAAAGTACTCCATCTAGTCCACACACTATCTTGTGTGTGTGTGCGTGTACATGTTTTCATGTATGTGCACGTCTGTACGTTTTCTGCTCCCATTTAAGCCTGTAGACTAAATATCCGGGTGCATTTGTGTCTACCCTTGGCAGTAATTACTAAGACTGCTGGAGCGTTACAACAGATACATACAAACACACATCCACACGCACGCACGCACGCAGACAGACACATATCAACTAGTAATTGCAAACCACCCTTCATCATATTGGCTTCCCTCAAAGCTATGTCTGAAAGAAAAAAAAACACATGTACAACTGTAGAAAAATATGAAGCGCAGTTTACATTCTCATCAGTTCTGTGTCCTTCAGCGCTTCCCACCAGATGCCTATTTATTAGCCTCCATGTCGCCGTCTCAGTTCTCGTCTCATGGCATCTGTTCCCCACAAACCACTTCTCTTCTTCCTTTAATGCTTTCTTTCACTGCTTCAGTGGTCATATGTATGCTATATACTGTAAATAAATACAGGTGCTGGTCATATAATTAGAATATCATCAAAAAGTTGATTTATTTCAATAATTCTGTTCAAAAAGTGAAACTTGGATATTATATTCATTCATTACACACAGACTGATATATTTCAAATGTTTATTTCATTTAATTGTGATGATTAAAACTGACAACTAATGAAAATCTCAAATTCAGGATCTCCGAAAATTTTAATATTACTTAAGACCAATACAAAAAAAGGATTTTTAGAAATGTTGGCCAACTGAAAAGTATGAGCATGTACAGCACTCAATACTTAGTTGGGGCTCCTTTTGCCTGAATTACTGCAGCAATGCGGCGTGGCATGGAGTCGATCAGTCTGTGGCACTGCTCAGGTGTTATGAGAGCCCAGGTTGCTCTGATAGTGGCCTTCAGCTCTTCTGCATTGTTGGGTCTGGGGTATCGCATCTTCCTCTTCACAATACCCCATAGATTTTCTATAGGGTTAAGGTCAGGTGAGTTTGCTGGCCAATTAAGAACAGGGATACCATGGTCCTTAAACCAGGTACCGGTAGCTTTGGCACTGTGTGCAGGTGCCAAGTCCTGTTGGAAAATGAAGTCTGCATCTCCATAAAGTTGGTCAGCAGCATGAAGTGCTCTAAAACTTCCTGGTAGACGGCTGCGTTGACCTTGGACCTCAGAAAACACAGTGGACCAACACCAGCAGATGACATGGCACCCCAAACCATCACTGACTGTGGAAACTTTACACTGGACTTCAAGCAACGTGGATTCTGTTCCTCTCCTCTCTTCCTCCAGACTCTGGGACCTTGATTTCCAAAGAAAATGCAAAATTTACTTTCATCAGAGAACATAACTTTGGACCACTCAGCAGCAGTCCAGTCCTTTTTGTCTTTAGCCCAGGCGAGACGCTTCTGACGCTGTGTCTTGTTCAAGAGTGGCTTGACGCAAGGAATGCGACAGCTGAAACCCATGTCTTGCATACGTCTGTGCGTGGTGGTTCTTGAAGCACTGACTCCAGCTGCAGTCCACTCTTTGTGAATCTCCCCCACATTTTTGAATGGGTTTTGTTTCACAATCCTCTCCAGGGTGCGGTTATCCCTATTGCTTGTACACTTTTTTCTACCACATCTTTTCCTTCCCTTCGCCCTCTATTAATGTGCTTGGACACAGAGCTCTGTGAACAGCCAGCCTCTTTAGCAATGACCTTTTGTGTCTTGCCCTCCTTGTGCAAGGTGTCACTGGTTGTCTTTTGGACAGCTGTCAAGTCAGAAGTCTTCCCCATGCTTGTGTAGCCTACAGAACTAGACTGAGAGACCATTTAAAGGCCTTTGCAGGTGTTTTGAGTTAATTAGCTGATTAGAGTGTGGCACCAGGTGTCTTAAATATTGAACCTTTTCACAATATTCAAATTTTCTGAGATGTTGATTTTGAGGTTTTCATTAGTTGTCAGTTATAATCATCACATTAAAAGGAATGAACACTTGACATATATCAGTCTGTGTGGAATGAATGTATAAGTTATACAAGTTTCACTTTTTGAATGGAATTACTGAAATAAATAAACTTTTTATATAATTATATGACCATCACCTGTATATATGTATATATGTGTATATATATATATATATATATATATATATATATATATATATGTCCCCTCCAAAAGTATTGGAACGGTGAGGCAAATTCCTTTGTTTCTGTTGTTCACTGAAGACATCAACATCACCAAACTGTTGCATTCTTCATTTGTGATGCTATTCCAGGCTTTTACCGCAGCTTCTTTCAGTCCTTGTTTGTTTTGGGGGGTTTCTCCCTTCAGTCTCCTCTTAAGGAGGTGAAATGCATGCTTGGGTTAAGGTCAGGTCATTGACTTGGCCAGTCTAAAACCTTCCACTTTTTCCCCCTGATGAAGTCCTTTGTTTTGTTGGCAGCATGCTTTGGGTCATTGTCCTGCTGCATGATAAACTTCCTCCCGATTAGTTTCAATGCATTTCTCCGTAAATTGTCAGGCAAAGTGTTTCTGTACACTTCTGAATTTATTCTGCTGCTACCATCATCAGTTACATCATCAATAAATATTAATGAGCCTGTTCCAGAAGCAGCCATGCACGCCCAAGCCATGACATTACCTCCACCATGCTTCACAGATGAGCTTGTATGCTTTGGCTCATAAGCAGTTCCTTTCTTTCTCCACACTTTGGCCTTTCC